GAGAGCTATAGAAAAGAAAAATAGAACATTGTGAAATTGAAACTTTATACAGCATTTAGATTAGCTAAACAATCTGCATTTCGAGAATTAAATAGTGTAATATCAGCCAGAGATGCAATAAAAGAAACGAAGTCATCATAAATATAATGTAAACATCAGTCAGAAAAAGTTAATACAGTGTAAGGAAAGAAGAGGTTTTGTCTAAACAAGAATAAATATTTAAATAATGATAAATAAAAAAAAAAAAAAAAAAAAAGTCTCAAGATCGAATAAGAGCTACATATAGCAAAAATCCATGAGCATGTAGTGATCCCAAGAGCCAATCAAACGCTCACATCAGAATCTATTGTTTAGGAATTCTTTTGCAACAGCGGCACGGTATTTGACTGCCATTAACAGATACACGATCGGATCCCAAGGCTGCTTAACGTCGCTAAAAAAAAAAAAGGTTATCAGTAACTCCTATGCCGCACTTCCTACCTGCGCTAATGGATGGCGACACGAGCAACCAGTAGCAGACCGAGAAGCACGACAGCCACAAGCACATTGAAAAGATATTCGCTTTATAACCTCTGTGTAAACTCAAATGTAAATTCATAAAACTGAACTTTTTCGTTTCGCCGGCGCAAATTTCGCCAAGCAGACCTTATTAGCGAAAACCCATAGTATACACATAAAAAATGTTGACAAATGTTAGTTCTAAGAATTTTTTTATTTTGAAGGTATAAACATTTTAATGTAGTCTAAAATTTTGTAAAAAAAGCCAATAAATTTGTAAAAAGACATTAAGAATTTACTGATTTCATCGTACAACATCTTGATTCGCCGGTTCATATCACGTGACCCCAAGTGATCTCATCTCACGTAAACTACGCTACAAAAATCCAATGCTCTCAGTAATTATCTACATTAATTTCAAGTTAAATCTTAATTTTGAATACAAGTTTAAATGCAACAATTGTTTCAATTCGTACGAATAGCTTACTCAGAAATTTTGTAAAACCGCAGTGCTTTACTTCGTTAGTGAATTCTCATTAGAATTGATGAATTTAACTCTTTGACTTTGCCTTTTCCATATTTTAACCATCGGGTGAGCGGTGTGATTGCATCCTAATTGACTTAATTACCGCCCGCGAATGGCCTTAGGGCATAAAATTGAATTATCTGGTAAAAATTCTATGTAATTGTATGCCAGTATTGAAAGAAACAAGCAATCTGATAAGAAATGGCTGCGACTTGTTTTGAAAATGTAAAAGTTAAAGTAAAAGGTTATCAGCAAGGATATTTCGTTTGGCATCGGTTGTACCATTACTGGCGACTTTATCGCTTGCGCCGGCAAAAGTACCCGTAAAGCTATAATTCAGGTAAAATTTGATGAATGAAAGTATAATTACGTTTTTTTTTTTTTTTTTTTTTTTTTTTTCGCATGTTGGCCACAATTTGGCTTCAAAAAGAATTGAGCTTTCTTCAAAAATAAGTAACAAGCTCTTAATTTTTTGAAAAGAACATTGTTAGTTTTTTTTTTCCCCTTCGAAAGGTGTGAAGACTCGTATGGTATCTGAGAAAAAAAACTTTTTTTGAGCAGTTTGCTTTGAAGAGCGGTAAAATTACTTCCAATTACAATGGATCCAAGATGAATCAATTTCACCCCTCTTTCATGGGAATGGGCGACACTGTTATAGCAGATAGACGGAAATAAAAGATTTTCTGAAAAGCTCATCAGAGGTTATGATTAGATTATAGATATTCCATTATCGGGCACTTAGCCGACTTAAGCTTGGCTACTGCTAAAGCCGGAAGTGGTGGCCACTTTATTATGAAAGTGGCGGTCCTAATAGCTAGGCTACCGTTACTTCCTATGAAGTGACATACATTTACAACTATGGCTTCTCCCGGATTCAAATCCGGACTTTTCTGTACTGCAGTAGGACCCCCTAACCACTATACTGTCTAGGCGGCGCTCATCTCTGTAGAAACCGAGTATTAAATCAGCTATTCATATATTTACTAACATGCTGTTTTAAATAATTTCGCCCATTATTATGAGGAATTTTAGTATTATATCTTTAAAACGTTTTGCCCATTACTTTAAAAAATGTGTCATGTCATCTAGCAATATTATTTTTTCTTAATAAAAAAATCTCGCATCTTGCTCATATCCATTTCTGTGCTCATTCTGAGCATATATTTCATCTTCATTTGGCTCAATTATTTCTTCACAGTCTTACATTAGTTGACGGATTTCTTCATTTACCTGGCTTCTAAAACTCGACGTGTTTACAAACGTGATGGGAATTGCTAACTTATTATTTATGCGTATAAAATTAAGTGTTGATAAATAGAAATTGCTATAAAAATATGAAACAATACAGAAAGTGATAAAAGAAAAATTACAGGGTCAACTAGTAAAATTTAAAAAAAAAAAAAAAAAAAGTAAAATTTGAGAAACAAATCGTTTCAAATCCAAAATGAAGCTTTTGATTTTTATGTGGCCCCCACCCCCCCAAAAAAAATAGACTCACATGATCAGGTGCATGGCTCACAGACTGAGCTAACAGCTTATAACATCTAAAAATCAATTCAAAACACAAAGGAAAGATATGAAATTCTAAACAAAACAGACGAAGGATTCACTTGAAAAAATTCTTAATTTAAGAGCATGTAGACACTACTCTGAGTGCAATAGTGTCACTAAGTGGCGTTATAAACAAGTCTGTATAGTGAACCAACAGAGGCCTACTCGAAAGTTGAAGGACTCATTTAACTCGAATGCAATTTTTGTTGTCCCACATGCCCTCATATCAGAAATTTAGAGAACGTTTTAAAGAAGAGATTTTCTACTAAATACAGAAACGCCCAGAACTTACCCTGCAACCTAACATTTGCATTTCATAATTTATAGTAGCAATCTTAATTTTTAATTAAAATTATTTTTATTTCTTCATACAAGTAAAGGAAGTATTGTAAAAGCGAAAAATTTCGGGTATCACATTTCAACGGAAATATCCATTTTGACCGTTCCCAAATACATTTGGACGACTTTTTGAGTGACGGCTGTACATAGGTAAGCCCCCCGGGGGTAGACTCAGGCGAACGCCTGGGAAGTACTGGTTAGGATCTGTACCTAGACAGTCTCAACCACGGGGCATAATAACAGACTTCACAGAAGGCCCGAGGGCTCTCAGAACAGAGTAAGGCTCGGCAGGGACCATACTGGTACTGCCTTGTCTGCCCTTGCTCTGTGGGGTCGCAACATGGAGACTGATCCAAGGGCGGGGCGGTATTAAACCTGTTTGGCACCCTCCAGGTTGCATTAGGTCAGGAGCCGTCTCGTTCCAACAGCGTAGTACATAGGTAAGTACGTATGTATGCATCTCATATAACTCATAAGCGATTAGCCGTTGAAATTCTGTATATGGGACTGTTATAACATCTAGTTGTACACCTCCATTTTGACTGCAATTCGGCAGTACCAAATGTATATGTACGTATATATCCACTCTCTTGCCCGGCTAGAAAGTCCTCATCCGGCTTTTATTTTCGCAATCATTGGCCGTAGTCATATATTTATAATTACATAAGTGTTTTAATGACGAAAATATTTATGTTTTGGCAATATCAAATATAAAAACCATAAATAACGAGATATAACTTTTAATGCGGGCTCTCAGTTCCTAAAACTAATATTGGGGAACATTTTAAACTCGTTATGAAAAAATAAAGTTATAAGAAATTTGACACCCATGCAAAAATTTGACCGGGATATTCAATTTCAAAATTTGCAATTTTTGATGTCAGTTTCAACTTGCCTTGAGAGTTCGGTTAATTAAATTACAGTAATTCGAGAAAAATAATCCGGAAAATCTTTCTGGCAAAGCCCATAGGACGAACCACATCCCCGGTGATATGGATCGACTGTGTTGAAAATGACCTAAATATTCTAAAGGTCAAAACCTGGAAAACAGTTGCCAAAAGCAGAGATGCTTGGAGAAGGCCAGGATCCACCCTGGGCTGTGGAGCCAATGAAGAAGAAGAATTTGAGGAAAGAAGTTTAAATGAAGTGCAGCAAAGTATGTGTACAATTAAATAGGTCATGTAAGGAAGTCATGTGATGTCCACGTTATATTTTTTAATTATTTCCCAGTAAAAGTGTCATCAAAACACAAGTAAAATACACAATCTTGATCAGATAAATTTCTTTCACATGCTGTTATAAAGGTATCTCGTAATTTTTGCCAAAATTCGTGTATTAGAATTTATTTAAAAAGTTCTTTGAATAAGTTCATTTATTCACGATGAATTTAATAAACATTCTCCTACTACACGAAAACTTACTTAAATCCGTTTTAATTAGCTTTTGTAATATATTAAATGTCACATAAATTTAATGGCATATAATTTTTTTTTTAATATAACAGCAGGCAGGCTACAAATAGCAACTTATTTTCAAGGGAACATATGCGAATTCATTACTTAGCATTTTCTAAAATATTAAATAAATGAGAGTATTATTGCTTTGGGTAAGGCTTCAAGTGGCAAAAAGTTTTACGCCAATTGTAAGAAAAGCACGAGTTGTATATGTCTCTTCGAACAAGCACTTTAATAAATTTATCTCTATGATTGTAACACAGTGAATAACATTGTTGTTCCTCCTTGAATAGCGACGCTCGAATAAAAGCTAAGACATGCACTGTATGCAAAGGAGTCGATTGGAACGAGTGTAAAATAGGATAACTTACTGATAATTCAAGTTGACTACGGTACTTCTTTCTTAGCATCTGTACATATGTCTTTTAAAATTTATGTTGATGTTTACAATTTAACTTCTCCAATTCCCTTTTATTGTACGGAACAGCTAACGTAAATTGTTTAATAGAGATGTTTGCATTTAAAAGTACTATTTGCATCATTTGTAGATAGATTCTTACTTTTATTTAATGTCGCTTATTAACAAATGTGGCGTCAGTATGTGAAGAGAGGTGTTAAAGACCACAACAGCATTTTTTAATAATAGAGACTCAACTTGAGCAGTTTTGTATTTCAGTTTTTCAATCACTTGTACACATGGGAAACAAAGTAATGTCGATCGGTTGCACACTGAAACATAGATAAATAATGCAGTTTACTCTTATTTCATTGTCACAAACAAAGCACAAACTACTACAAGATATCTCGTTAAAAATTTCTAATAAAATTAGGCTGCTAAAATAGACATAGAAAACATAAATTATACGATACAGATATCATGTTTCCACAAGCATAAGAATATTAATCAAAAGACAAAGATAATCATTTGTCTATAATAATGTTGTCACATAGAAAATGTTACAGACACATTCAAAATTCACTACAAAATGTTAAAATGAGATCATACAACACATATCATCAAAGAAGTGTTTAAAAATTCGATTACCGCATGTACTTGAACCAAAGCGAAGGAAATATTACATAACTAAAAATAAATTCTAGTGGACTGCGAACTTTGGAAACAATGTAAAGCTATTACTGTTGTAAGCTCCATTTAAAAAAATTCAGTGTAGATTTGATTCAGTGTTACAGTAATCTTCATAATACAAATATTAACATTAATCACATGAATTCAGATAAGATGTAGAATGTCATTTGGCGTATTTTTAAAATATAATTTTTGTTTAAAGATCATGTACCATGTGTCACAATAAAGAAAATGATTTTATATCCAACACTGACAAACTTCTACCCCGTCTTAGGATATATAACGTATCATAGTTATAAGTTTTGGTTCAAATATTCAAGTACAAACGGTAAAATATTTTGAGTCTCATAATTGTGCAATATAGGCATGACTCTGTGCACACTGTTCATACCTTCACAAACATTTATAAAGTCTTTGGCTTATGCATGAACTTTGACATAATGGCCATGCCCATTCTTTGTTTTTGGGAATTAATAGTCATTTAAATTGAAAAAAAAAAATATTTTCCTACATTTTTACTTTATTCTAAAAGAAGTTTCAATTTATACCCTGCATGTCAGCGGCGTTTGAAAACTTAGAAAATATATCTAAAACAACTTTTACCATTCAAAATAAATTATACATGAAATTTTCTTAACATAAATTCAAAAACAGAATTCTAAAAGGATTACATAAAACAAATATGTGAAATAAATCCATGAGAAATATTCATGCTTGCTGGTTATAATACTACTAAACAATGAAAAGCAGATTCAACTGATTAATATTTTAATGAACAATTTCAGAACAATTCTCACGTTAAAACAAGGTTAAAAACAAAGCATGCTGGCTATGGCCTTTTACTGACTGAGACGTGCACATTTAATTAGTAAAACATATTATCTATACAATTGAAGTAGCACCATGGGTAAGGCTTCACATATACAGAAATAAAATATTTGTTCGTAGTTGCGTGCAGTGGAAAAAGGAAAACAGGTTAAAGGTAAAAGCAAATCAAATGAAATGACACAAGGTGAAATTCATAATAAATAGCAAAAGGATTTAAGTAGCATCTGTTCAGTATACTCCAGAATCATTTTCATTACAATGATTAAACATTTTCATATTCAAAGCAAGAAAATAAAGTACACTTCAAAATTAGGTAAACGCGCGCTGAATTAATTGTGTATTTATATCAAATTATGTGGTGTACAACTTCTTCAAATTTTTGATTGCTTAAATAGTTTGAAGAAACAAAGCAATCATTAAAATGAATAACAAGAGTTCATAATGGCAGAATATTATGTTTCGTAGCATTTACTTCAATGCACTTTTGATTATTAATGGTTCTAGGTACTAAAAATAATAAATACGTAAAAAATTCTCAATTGTATCGTTTGACTTCAAAAGAAGTTTTGTATACAACAACATGTAACAGCAGCGGTCATAAAAATATCTTTACGAAGCAAACATGTTTTATGCGTGTACAGTAATGGGCTGTTCTACACACTTTTACATAGCATACAACAAATATATTTTCATACCACTTTTCATACAAAATAGCAATGATTTCATGAAAACATTTCTTTAGTTTTTCAACTTCGGAATAAAGGGCTCACAATTAAACATCAATTGACAGAATCACAACTATACAAGTAGTAATTCTTACATTCCTGTATAAAATTCAACGCACGGTCCTTTGATAACAAGGAATTTATTTACGTTATTCAGTGATGAAGAGATGATTAGCTTCCAAAGAAATAATTTTGCCGTATAAAAGTCTTAGGACTACATTTCACAACTTCGTCGATATATACTGCATGCAAAGGAAGCAAGCAATTATGGGTAAAATAGTCATCTTTCATTGTAAAAAAAACTAACGAATTTCTGAATTTTATGACATTTCGAATAAAAAAAATGGAGGTAATACTGTGAATAATATGCAGTAAAGTTTTTGTCTCTTCATGGATTAAGGAATTTTTACCATGCTTTCTAGAAGAAATCTTCTCAGCACGCTGGAATTTCACGGACAAAATGATACCGATGCTAAAGCATTACACTTCGGTGCCCTCCAAACCTTCCTCAGCGTAACCCTCATCAGGGGAGAATCTGGCTTTAGGCGGCAAAGTGTAATGACCTGCGGCATTAGCTACCACTAATGGGTGTCTCTTAAAAGCATCATCATGACCAGGACTAGTGCAAAATTCCTCTCGGCCTTGATCCCCCCCAGAACATTCGTAGCTACCTCTTAAGGTTCGCACTCTGTCGTTTTGAGGTATATATCTTTCTCCTGCGCAATCAGGTAAGTGGTGCACTCCGGCAGCCTGCAAAGCGTAGTTATAAGGATCATCATCCTTACCATAGCAAGGATTTAAGTATATTTCGGAATAGACATTATTACGTATCGGTGATGCTTCATATCTAGAAGCTTTGCCTTTCCCAAGTGGCCAATGGTCAATCGCTGATCCGTATCCATCAATGAGAACTGGGTTGTCAGTTTCGAGATGATTGCAGCTGACCGTAGATGTCGATAAAGACGGTCCATTATTCATATCTGCTATTTTGCTCACCAGATCGGGTGTCAATTGATCAGATCCATACCCACTACTGCCAGTCTCATGACGCGGTTGTTTATCAGTAACTTTGATATCTTTCTCCTCTTTATCTTCTCTAATGTCATTCATTTCTACTGTGTCTTGTTTCTTAGATGACAGGTGCTGAAGCATATTCTTTCGGTTTATCTTGCATCCGAATGACAGCCAGACTGGGTGATAGACAAGTAGGCATATAACGGCCGCTGCTAATAATATAAGAAATAACACTCCGACGAGCAAAAGAGTTATTTGTGTACTATTCCAAGAACCATTCAGGTGATTTGGGCACATAACAGACAGCGTGAAATTTATCGACGAAGTTCCAGCTTTGTTTTCTGCAATACAAATATATGTATCTGCATCACTCTCAATGGTGTTATAAATTGTCAGAACACTAGTTTGTTTAGATGACCCTTCGGTTTCGATATTGTACTTTGCTCTCAGTTCTGGTGTAGTACTAAAATTTTTCAAGTTCTTACCTCCCATTTCCCAATATATTGAAGCTTTAGGAGTTGCATCGACGTGACAAATAATGGACGCATTATGACCGAAAATTGCAGAGATATCTTTAGAGACACTGATCATTTTTGGAGCGCAAGCAAAATCTTCTACTGACATCCCATACCATGAAGAGCCTTTAAGTAGAGGAGGTCCTTCACAATGAGGGGGGGCAGCCAGAGGAATATTGCGATCCAGCATCCATGCACGAATTTCGCCAATTTTGCAATCACAATACCAAGGATTATTATGCAAATAAAGCCCATATAAATTCTCAAGAGATTCGAAAACTTTTATAGACAGCGTGCTGAGCTGATTACCATCCAACTCAATAAGTCCTATATTTTTCAATCCATTAAAAGCTCCAGGTTGTAAGTGTTTAATTTGACAGTTAGCCAAACCTAAATATGTCAAATGCGACAGGAAAGAAAATACACCACTGTCTATTTGTTTGATGGAGTTGTGCGCAAGTTGTAAGCGTCGGATGTTTGGACAATGTGCTAAAGCATCTGTCGGAATAGTATGTAACTTATTGTTGCTTAAATCCAACTCCACTAAATTACTCAACTGAAAAAATGCATCGGAGGCAATATGTGAAATTCCGCACTCCGCCATGAATATTTTCTGGAGGTTAACTAAACCTTTCCTTTGAAAAGCACGACTAGTAATTTCATTGAAACTGTTCCTACTAATATCTATCACTTGAGTGCCCTCGTCTAGAGATGATGGTATAACAGTCAAACCCTGACCGGCACACTCCGCAGTCTGTTTGCCGTTCTTCCATTTACAGGAACAAATGCTAGGACAAGCTGAGAAACATTTCACGAAAATAATCAGAATACATGTCACTGATATCAGTGCATGCAAAGTTGCTGTAGATTTCTGCTTCATATTCTTTATTTATGCTTCTTTACGTACAATGCTTGTATACTTCTATATCTTCGAAAAAGTGTAAGCAAATAACTCATCAAACATAAGCACTATTTTATTATTCTAACGTCTTGTTATCTCATAACACTTCTGAGGTATTCCTCCGTTAGAATTTTCCAAGAACCTGTAAAGAAAAAAAAATTTTTTTTTAATTACGAAACTAACATATTCACATTAGTATAGTAAATGCATACATCAAGTACAACAGAAGCCAGCATATTATCTGACAGTGTGAGTGAACAAATGAACCATTGCTAAACACCTTAATATTTAATATTATAATTCAAATTCTAGAAGCACGTCCCAAGAACACCTACTTTTATGAATACCTAATTTCGTTGAGAAAAATGAAACCTCTTAAAGACTTTTATTCTAATATGCCGCCAGTGGCTAAGGGGTTCGTTGAATACTGATATTTCGACCCTGGTTCAAATTCTGGCAATGGCGGCACGGGAGGCTTGTATTTTTCCTATGCGGAACGAGAATATGAACCAGTTTTCTCTAACTCGAAAATATGAACAATTTTTCCTTAGCCTAAGGAAAGGCATGCCCTCGTCGAAGGCATTTCTTTTCTTAGTCAGAGTGCTCTCATGTCCGTTAACTTTACTCGATTATCTATAATTAACATTAAAATGAAAAAAAAAAATACTGATACGAAGCTTAAGTAAATTTATTATAAATACATAAAAAGATTTGCTAACGTAAACTATTCACTGATATTATGAATATATACGCTTGTCTACATTAATTGTAGAAGTAATTTCAAAACCCTCTCAGATTCTGAAAACAAACTCTGAACTTCGATTTCAAGAGCCATTAAAAAAAAAAAAAAAAAAAAAACTGTTTCACTTTCTTTAAAAGAAACTGTCAGAAACGAGGAAGAGTCAAAAGCAAGGAAAGTTCGAAAACTTTTTCCCCCTCCTCCACACACAGTTTTATTTGTTAGATAGTGCAGAACATATACAGGCGTTTCAGGACTATTGTTCAGAAATGTGCATAGAAGTCCGGAACACGATAATAGGCAATAATCAAATATCAACATAGAATCAAACATCAATGTGCATGCGAAACCCGGACGCGTTATACACGTACAGAGACGGAAAGACGCACGACAGGTCCCTAACAATGAAGATTCACTAGACAAACAACAGTATTTTTTTTAATTAAACTGTTAAAGCAGATGTTCGGAGACGTAGCTTTCAGATGGAATGCACGCATCGCAACGACGATGCATCGATCGACGAACTTTTGCAAGAATGCCGGGTGTACCAGCAATACCACCACTTGCAGTAGCGATGCATAACACTAGGCCCATGTCCGATTCTACAAGAATCATACACAAGGCTTTCATGTAGCCCCTAAATCCCCTAATAAATCCCCATAATTTGTGACCTATCTCGAGTTTTCTGTCCATGTGTTTATAGACGTGTAGTTTATAGACGAGTATTTTGAGTGCACTGCAGAATAAGAGGAAAGCAGTTTTATTATCTTATTTCATAGAATAATTGCACTGTTTAAATGCTAGATAATACACTTATTGTACTGTAGTCACTGTATGTATAATGTATATATGTTACGGTGAAACACCGAAATCTGGAGAATGTCGACTTTCACCGGTGAATGTCAACATTCACATAGTAGCTTGGTGTATGTCCAAAATATTTTCCAAATACTCTTATTTCTGACTACACCGGTGAATGTCGACATTCACCATGTACTAATGGTGAATGTTGAACATATAAGAATATTATATTTCCTTCTCCGTACTTCATTCGCGAAAAAACGCACTTGAGACTCAGAATAAGAACTTAAGAACATAAGAACTGAAAACACACAGTACATTCAAAATGAGAAAGGAAACTAATAGAAGTTATAAACTTACCAAATTATGTGATTCAAATCTTATTTATTACAACAACTTAAACTATTATGACACTTTGAATTGCATAAGAGGCCCTTGCTTTTACAACTGCATTTGTTTGTGGAACACTTCCTTTTGGAATGGCAGCGTGTACATATACTCCTCTCTTTTCGCCCTATACCAGAGCATATCTGTGATTGTCGACATACACCGGTGAGGGTCCGAATGTACAAGAATGTAAAGAAATATTCGATCTTTCACCGACGTATTTGGTGAATGTTGACATTATCCGGTGAAAGTCGACATTTTCCAATCTCGATCTTTCACGGTAACACACACACATATATATATATATAGCTAATTACAGATATGTCTAGCTGAAGGATTTCAATTTTGGACTACTTCTGGTTACTAGTATGCTTAAAAAGAAATAGATGAGAATGTGTCACTAACTTATCCATAACTCTCCTTGTCTTTGAACCTCCTGTTATTTTACAGAAATTCTCAAAAAAAGGAAAAAAAAAAAAAAAAAAAAAAAAAAAAAAAAAAAAACTAAAATTTGCTTTCTCAAAATTATTGCAAGGTAAAATAACAATTCAACGACAGTTTTATTTTTTAAAATGTATCCTAAAATGTAAGAAGGCTCTTTTATTCAATCAGACATTTCGCTGGTCAGCTAAATGAATGTAATTTATTATCTCATTAGGGCTATAAGCGGACGTCTTAAATAGTAAAATTATAATTCTCATGATTAGTAAGTCTTTTAGAGACGGACATTTATAGAAGATAGTCGGGATTATAGGGACTTTTGTACTTTTTGAAATTTCTGAACACTGACTGAGATATGTCAGTTCAATAAGATTTATAACTGAAAACATAATTTTAGAGGGGATAAAACTATCTCAAGTATTGCGCTAATCTTTTAAGTACTGCACTGATTCTAATATATAAAATGATGTCATTCTAAAATATGAGACGATATAAAAATGTTTAATACCAATTTCTCTTTAAGCAGAGGAACAAAAATCTATTACATCCAATGCTGTATAGAACGATGTATCTCGTAGTACGTTATGCAGTAATATATCTAGAAAATGAACCTTAACGAAGATAATTTTTTGCTCCGAAAATCTTTCTGGATATGGTGCAGAAAGAATTAAATGATTTTATCCAGACTTAAAAAACAAAAAATCCATATTTATACATTATTAACAATGAAGTATGGTCTTTAATAAAATCTAGTTATCAATTGTTCGGAAAACTTAACGTATATTAAAATAAAATTTATATTTTGAATAGTTTTACATAATTATTAACTGATTATACTGAATTTATTGCTTGCAAACTGCTAAATGCTTATCAATGCAAGCATTTTTGGGATTTCATTTGCTACTTCTGATACATACGGACACGTTTGGAAGACGAGGTTTAAATTCCTCGATTTCATAGGCTTAAAATGAACCTCTATTAACATATTACTGGTAATTATAAGGATATTCATGCTTACAATACTTTAAAATAATGAACAGGAATTAAATCTTAACATAAAAAAATTCACTGGTATGCGAAAATAATATTTTTATAGAACTAACAAAAAGTTAATAAAGAATGTTCTTATATCCAATACGAATTAGTAAATGCCAAAACAGACAATTTTATTTCATAGTCTATTTCTATATTTGCCTAAAAATTATCAACTGCCATCACTTATAAGGACCGTTGACATTAGGGTTTATCTGAGCTATCGAAGACATCTGACACAGCCGAAAATGCTCCATGGCATCGGGCGGGGGGGGAGAGTTTTTCTTCAGTTGAAATATCTGAACTTCACATCCAGCTAGTTGACACACAAAATCGACTTCGATAACTCAGACAAACCCCAGTGTGAACGGCCATATACGGCATCAAAGTGATCTAAATCATTAAACTCAATCGCGCGTATCTCTGTGAAATGCTGACAAGTTTAAAGAGCATTCTTTCCCTTCACTTAAGAATACATAATGAATACTTTACTAAACTTTCGCTCTAAAGAAAACTTATTAAAATTTATATTTTATGTCTACATCAGTGCGGAAACTATTCTAAAATATTGTATCTTATTTCGGGAAATCTTGTAAACGGAAGTACATGTCTAGGGCAAATAGTTAATTAAATAAAGCTTGTAGCCACCTTTTCCGTATTCACTGCATAAATAATACTTTCACAAATATAACCTGAATAATTTAAAACAAAAATTCAATTTTAAATTTTATAATAAAGACACATTGGTGCCTTTAATTTATTTCACTATTTGTTTCTAGTTAAATTTTTGCCCACAAACCATGCTTTCAATAGAGAAATAATATTATAGTTTTTATTACAGATTTACTATTAGATTAAATAATGGAATAGAAATTTCATTTATTTTCCTTTTCATTATTTACTGGAATGGTGCAAAATGGATTTAAAATACCTTAAAAGTTTCCAACTATACGAAGAGGCTATAGAATTTTAAATTAGTTTAAAGTTACTTAAATGTTTTTTTTTTCCAAATATTTTAGCACGATTACCTAATTCGAAGAAATGACTAGCATGATAATAAATTAGTAAAACAAAATTTTGCTTTATTGCATAAAACATTTCACTTCCTAAAGAATTATTAACGGTAAAACACAAATGAAAGCCGACTGTTGTGAACAGAATTTTTACCATTTTATAGATAACCCGACTGTTGTCAAGAGAATTTGTACCCCCAAAATTCTCTTTACAAGCAAAAATAGATGTCTTCTCTCCCATGGCTGCGAATATTCATACTTTCTGCAGATCATGTAACATCTTCGCAAGTAGGAATACAAGTTATCTTTGTAATAAAAATATAATTTCTCGGTTAATAACTTAAGTAAAATGAGCGGTTTTGGAAATCTTTAATAATACCTCGCGTACTGCCACTGTACATGCAGTTACTAAATACCAGGATAAGTTTGTACAACATATACTCTCCGAAAATAAATCTTAAATATATTTCAGATTATTTTCTGAAAAGAATATTGCAATAGCTTATTTTTATTGCAAATAAATGACAGAACTTCTTTTAAATACCATTTTTGTGGTGTTTCTAAAAATGCTTTCGGTTATTTTTCTGTTAATTAAAGGTTTAATTATTATTTCTGTTTTTCAATCGCAGAAACTCAGAATTTAAAACAAGTAAACGTTTTCACTGTCCTTGAAGTGCAGCGTTTATTTTAAATTACGAAATGACAACATTCTTTATTTCTTAACATTTT